ATCCGTTATTGCTCCGATGCGAATGTTAATATTAAAAATACACAACGTATTTATGTTTGCAAAACGTCCAGCATCGGCCGATGAAAGAGCAAGCTCCGGAGTAATGAATATAAATTTCTCGGGATGTAATGTGAAATTACGCGGATGAAAACAGAGGGATAGGGTGGAAACGAGGGTCGATAGTAACAAGAAAAAAGATGAAACCTTCGTCACCGTTGCGACGAATGCGTTTGAAGCAAACGCATCGGTTCAACGTATCGGACGTAGTCGTTGAAACTCGTCGTTAATCCCGTGCCCACACACGGGCACGTCCGAGTTTCCCGTCCCTCTCACGAAAATTACGAACGGTATTGTGAAATCTTTCCTGGCCTCCCGTGCCCGAGCGAGAAAAAAGGAAAAAAGAAATGTTTATCCCCTTACGGTCGCTGTTGGTTCGAGCGCTAATGACGACGGTTATTAGGAAGCGGGCCGAATCTCTGGTCTGGCGTGCGTGCGCCGCGCGAAAGAGAAAACCGGCGAGAACGTTGCGGAAGAAGAGGCCGTTGCGGGGAACACGGCAGGAGAAACGGTCATTATCGACGATGACTGGCAGCAGGGTCATCGTCGCCTGTAAGGTTTAACGCTCTTTTCTGAGGGTAGCTTAACAATGTACGCGCTCGGTGTGTACAAACTCGCCGAAATCATTAACGCGCGCTGGCCGATTTAACTCGACAACCTTCTCTCACCTCGTCTCACCGGTGCCTCGCCAAGTTTTCACAGTGTGTTTCCTCACGCCTTCTATCGAACTATCTCGATGTTCGTCGAATGGAGGAATTCTACTTGACAACTGAAGCAAGCCAAGTGCTGGAAAAACGTAAGAAATTCGTGTTGGACAATTGGAAACGTGAAATCGTTTCGTTACGCGTATTTACTCCTTATAAATTGCGGCTGAGAAATGCAGGAGATAGGGATTAACGGGACGGGAAATGATCAACGATATATAAATATCAATCGCGCGAACCCATAATTGGCTAATCGTGTAAGATAGTACCAGCGAGGTAACATCAACGACGATGATAACGAAACGCCGTTTACCATAATAATAATCATCACGGAATCGCGAGTAAGAGCGTCGCGCAGACCTTTTCACGGGAGACTCGGTGTGTTCCCAGCAGTAATTGTAATTTCTGTTACGCCTCTGCGTAGTTCGTACATAACAGGAGCGCCGCGGCAACATCGTGCCCGGTATAATAATCGGCATCGTAATACAATCTGCGTCGACGTGTAGAACTGGCTCACGTACCTCACTGAATCGCGTAACTTTATTGGAAGACGAGAGCAGGAACCTCGGCGGTGGTTATCTCCGGCAGCCGACAGGGACAAACGGACGAGCGGGCCGAAAGCTTGAAGGGACGCAGACGGAGCGAAAGGGGTTGCTTCTAATAGCCCTTAAGTTGGATAAAGTTGGCCATTGTGCGCGCCACCCGGCCGTACGTGATCAGTTTTACCCTTGGATAATCACACCGGCGCAGATCTGACCTACCCTCTCCTTTCGTTTATTTCCTACGTAGGAGCATCAAGGCGGCCTACGGGGGTGAAACGAGAACGAGCGTATAACGGCAGGGATTAAGATTCGTGGCTGTAATTGATTGTTGAGCCGCAGTCAGTTTGCTCCTCCGCTGGCAAATATATCGCTAAACTTTCAACGACCGCCCACCACCCGTTTATGAAAGAACGAGGGTGGCTCCTAATGAGACTCGCGCTCAGAAGACTTACCTCGTAATATCCTGTGATGGAAAGTCGTTGATACATGGGTATTCTATGGGACGACATTGACACACGGTTCGGGAGAAGCCGAGTTCATTTTTCCGCGCTCTATCCTCGCGATGAAAAAATTATCGTCTCATTCATCACAGCGAGTTTCAACAACGGGTAATTCGTTTTATCTACAGCGTCGATTGCAGAGGAAAGCGTGAACGCGCGCCGGCTTTGAGCGCTCGCGATTGTTCTTCAAAGGAATAGATTATTACGATCGCTAGCGATCGCTGAAAACAGATTACACAGCTTTCGTAATTCCAACATATCGCACGGATAACTGGATAATCGGCTTGCGTGTACTTCACTGTTTAGCGCATTAAGTAGATTGACGATACTTTGCAACGTGTCGCCTCGTTTATTCGAATTAGCGCGCTCTAGAATCGATATCGTTTCCGCGTGATGGAAACACCGTTAACGAAATATTCCATTGGGTGGAGTCGTCGATGAAAATCTCATCGCGGGAAGCTCGATTAGTAAGACGCGTGGTGAAACGAAAAGACGTTCGTTAACATCTCGGACTTTGTTCGGGATCGCTTCCGTGTTGTCAGGTCACCAGGCAGAAAAATAATTAATTAACATCGCTCGTTTAATAATTCTCCCGCTGCGTTCGAAACGCAGCGAGTCTTTCATCGGAGTTACTAACGCTGATATAATCCATACGCCTCGTCCGACGATTAAAACGATGGGATCGATTAATCTCGCGGTTATCCTCGGCTCTTTCGTTTTCCAGTCTGCACGTAATCCGCGCGATGCTGCTTTGGGTTTCACAGAGAGATCCATAGATCCTTTTTCTCTTCCTGCCTCCTCTTCGCCGCTGCCGCCTTACCGGGAAACAAGTTGGAGTTTACACCGGCGTAAGCGCCAGTCACGCCTGAACGCGGGGGATGTTCTCTCACGGCGCTGCGGAATACAAAATGAGAAAATTCTGAACAGGCGGAAGTTGCCGGGAAAAAAGAATTCGCGCTCACGTCGCGGACTCGTTTCCTTGACATTTGCAACGTTTCGTCTCTCTTCTACCTTTTCGTCTCCATTTTGGATGACACTCGTACTCCGTTTCGAGGATATTTTTCCTTGCAATTTTATTCCTATTCGGACACACAAGAAGATCCGCTTTACCTTTACCTTTACCTTTGGTCTTGGCCGCCTTAACGCGCGCATAATTCGCGACAATCTGTTTAGATTTCCAAACTAGGCGGACTTAGGCGAACGCATTAACGTGTACCGTTCGTATCTCGCTGGAAAGTTGGAAATATCCAGTTTGGCACCGTTCGTGGATGGGAACTACGGGGTGAGAGAAGTTGGAGACAGAGAAAGAGAGGATAGATAAGGGAGCGAGGGAGGGAGGGAGGGAGGGAGGTGGTTGTAAGAGCCTTTTTGGTAAGTGAAGAGGATACGAGGGGCATAGGTGGTGGATAGAGAGATGGAAGGATAGAGAAAGGAGGTTGTAGAGCGTGGAAGCTACGTTTAATTGGACGACTTCCAGGAGCTGTGGAATTAGGAGAGAGCTGGAGCTGAGCGACGCGTTCCTTTGGAAGAGCGGCGGGACAGGGACGAGGGCACAGCAGGAAAGAGGGAGCGAAAGGTGCGTAGGGTGGATAAAGGGCGGCTTATCGGCTAATGTCACTTTAACATTGTATCAAATTATCAGCCGCCTCGCCAGACCGACGGATTAATTAAGCTAATTATCGTTTACGCTTGGACGAGTGCGCAGCCTCCCGGCATGCCCGAGGAAGCAAGTCATTTCGCGCGTATTACAGTTTACGCCGAAGTGGCGCGTTGTTGTTTCGCCGCCTTCCTTCACACCTCGATGCGTGTAACTGACGGCGATGCTTCTCCAGTTGCAGTTGCGTTTCCCACCCTCGTTTCGTAAGCGAGAACGACGATAACAACGAAGACTGTGCACGATGGAACGACGAACGACGAACGTAACCCGGACGGGTGGATAGAGGGCAGAAGAGAGGTCGGGGACAACGAAGAAGCTCGATGACAACCTAGGTGGCACGGTGTGAGGCGTATTTATAGCCCGAGCCTCCGCTTTATCGTTGTCCCTCTTGTTATCGAGCCGTCGTTACCGTTATTGCGCCGATGCCTGCAAAGCGACGAGACGCGTAGATACCCGCGCGATACCGATCCGAGAGCAACGAGATTGGACGAGTAAATTCCGCGCTTAAAGTCTTTCTTCGCTGTCTGAGGACGTCGTTAAGGCTCACCGAGAACTCACGCTGCAGCTTCACGAGGCAGCCTCACGGTTAGAGAGTAACGCAGATTATATCGACGCGCTGCGAGCGTATTTTCCCCGTGCGAAATAAACGCCGAGCTGCCCGGTCTGCAGCCAGGCAAATAAGCCTGGAATAAAGTTAAGGGCCAAGAAGTGGATTAATCTTAACAACGCGAATCTGCTTTAGAACGCGATGAACGCGCGGCGAATATATTCCTTCGGATTGTCGGTTCGATCGGAAGCGATTGTATCTTTTCGTACCTTTCTTTCACTTTGGCTTTCCTTTAAACGGCGACGGTTTTAAACGAGAAACGGTTTTCGCGGAAAGGAAAGGAAAGGAAAGGAAATCTCCCCAGATGAAATGCCGGTGGTTTGCTCTTTACAGCGACTCTAGACCGCTCCCGTTCTCCGCTCTCCACCGCCGTCGCGGTATAATGAAGTTGCCCGAACAAAACATTCATAAACCTTGCTTCAGCTTGTTTTTAAGCTTCTTCGACGAAACATTTTGGAACAAATTTTCCAACGGCAAAGGTACACCGCGAATGTCTACCACAGACAAACTAACGATCGAATAAAAAAACCTCGCTCAGCAACTTGTGCTCCTCTTTTTTTCTTTTTCTTTTTCTTTTCCTTCTCGCTCTCTCTCTCTCTCTCTCTCTCTCTCTCTCTCTCTCTCTCTTTATCTCTCGTAAAACGAACAAGACGAACGAGTCCTCGACCTAGCGAAAGAAAAAGTGAAGAAAGAAAGAAGAAAATAAAGAGAGGTTCCTTCTGCCGGTGAAATCTCGTACCGATTATTATCCGTCGACTTGAAGCAAGCAAATTAAAAGGCTAATTAAACGATTAATACAAGTGGATAGACGTGGCTCCATTCTTGTCCGACACGGAGATCCACGCGCGTGTAGAAGTCCACGCTGGCTGTGGACGGTCGTTTAATGAAGACGATCCTCCGTGCGTTAACACCGACCCGTTCATTTGTTCCCAGAAAAGAACAAGCCCGGGTATCACCGATGACAACGAGGATCGACCGATGAATCAGGGGAGGACAGGAGGGTCGCATTCCATCGGATCGAGATTTATTTGCCGAATAAATGTTGAGGAGGTATTTTTAATGGCCGACAATAGTGGCCCGATAGTGATCTCAGAAACGTATTGTCGTTGAACGTCGTATATAATCCCAGAGGCATCGACGTAACCAACAAAACGAATACGCTCTCTCCTTCGCCTCTCTTTCGTCTTCTCCCACGTAACTCTCCTTGTTTCACCTCACCGTCGAACGCTTATCGAAAGAAAGAGAGAGTCCCTTTACTTCTCTTTGCTCCTTCGACCCGCGTTTATTCACTCGCTTATTTCCTTTCTCTCTTCGTTCCTCTCGAGCCTCGTGCAAGCCCCTCTCTCGTTTTCTCTCCTTTCTCTGTCTCTCGTTGATTCCCCTCTCGCCGATTCGCCGCAGCATTCCTCACCGCTTCTTCCCTTTGGCCCGTGCGGTGAACTATCGCCCCGCGTTCACCTGCTCCGAACTTTCAAGTCGTTTCTTTTGTGAATCGACGTTATTATTATAATCGAATACTTGTCTCCTAGATGGATATCCTTTCGTTTCGTGCGCGTCAATGCCACGTTAAATCGGGACTCGCTTTCCTCTCCTCCTCCTCCAAGACCCTCCGACTCCGCGAGAGTCTTGAACTCGGACGTCGTCTGACTCTAGCGCTTCGCTGGTTCGAAGCAATTTACACCAGCGTCGAAGCCGTATATCCCAAGCGCTTATCTAAGATACTCGATCCTGTATTTCTTACGCAACCGACGTGCATTTTCGATCGTGGCTACCGATCGTGCCAACGTTCGTGTTTCCCCCGACGTCTCCGGTGTCCGCGAAATTTATCGTTTCATTATCCGAGATCAACTGCTCTTGCGACTCGCTCTTTTTCTCTCCGTCGCGAAATTAACATTTCCCCATGCCAAGAGGAAGAGAAGAAGAGAAAGAGTACCCAGCGTATAGAAAAGAGGATTTCACGTCCCTCGGCGAGTTTCATCGTTTCACCCCGTGTTTACGCGTGATAAAGGTCACAGTAATAACGACCGGTAATGGGACTGCGGCAAGACCACGAAGCCAGTGCCGCGCGGATTCATTTTCAATTTCCACATCTCCGGCAACGCATAGCCCCATCGTATAGCACGGTGCTCGCGTACAGCACCGACACGGTACACAGATTCCGCGTACACGGACCGCGGTACTTAGCTCGACGTTCCACCGACTGCGTGCCAGGTTCCACGAGGTTCACCGATTATTATTGATGAAGTACCATCGGCCCATAAGCAGCACGCATATTCCGCGGCGAGGATACAGTTATGATTGCTACAAGGAACGGACCCGACACGATCCACTAACGCACCACTTTCGGCCGTTATTAACGTGAGAAAACGTGGCTGTATCGTTCTCCCTCTCACCGGCCAACGCGTATCTTCGTAATGGATACGATTTTCCATACTGCGGCAACTGACGCCAGCCGGATACGGCTGTACGTACATATCGAGAGTACGCATACGCGCAGCGCGTGTAGATCATCAAGACGAATTCTCGTTTTAGCCAATTCGTTCGTCACTTTTTTTTTTATTTAACACGTTAAGCGCGGAGCTGAGTTTGCTGGGCTATCCGTTCAGGCGGCGATCACTCGATCACACGAATGTTGGATTATAGGGTGTAAACAGACTAGATATCGCTGTAACGACATTGTTTCACTTTTTATTCAGGAATGACAAAAGTATACAAATTATAGACCAGAAATGAGATTAAAGGTACATATTAGAAGATTGTTTTCAAAAAACAATCAGTTTTACAAAGACACGAAATATTACTTTTTGTAACATGTGTAAAGCCAAGCCTTATTTTTGTTTAGAATGTTTTAAACTCCATTGACACTACAAGAAGAAATTATTTTTATTTTAACCTTGATTCAGCTGGTTCCACAGACAGACGCCGACCGAAGCGAAAAGTTCACTGTCAATCCCCGGGGATTGACGCCGCGCTTAACGCGTTAAAAAATTTTTTTCTTTGCACGTTAGTTTCAATCCGCCATAGGGCTACGAAATTGCGCGCAACAATAGCTATTAGCAAAAAAGAAAGACGATTCATCCGTTCCTAACCGAGGCAAATTACGACGGTGGATATGGCGGATCGTCTCACGCTGATTTTCGCGAAAGAATCCCCCATTGACTCGGAGAGTCGTGGGACTTGATGCGTGCGACTGTTGGATCGTGAGACTTTGTACGAAGTAGTCACAGCCCAACGCTGCCGGACTTGACGTATCTACCAGAGACTTCGCGTTCCGTCTGACGACCAAAGATCGTCACTACTGCGCTCTCAAAGCACGCCGGTGCTTTATAGCTTTGCTCTCGCTAAATGATCTCGCAACGGAAATTCCTGCTAGATGCGTATCGACGAGACGAACGCGATTTCAAACAATTTCAAACCGTTTTGGGTAATAACACCGTCCTGCGTACAGAGGTAACAACCTCCTTATTTCGCGTATGTACGGGCGGATCGACCGGTTGCAGACGATTTTAATCAAAGAACCCGGCCGATTCTCGAAATGAGATTAGATAAGACGGATAAGAGATACAGCGTTTCAGTAATATACAGGTCGAGCAGTTCTTTCTGCGCGCCGCAATTGCGCCGTGAGTCACGTGTTAAAATTCAGTCGCGGCCCCGAAACCGCCCCCTCATAAAGGAAGCGTCAGTTCATAAATTGCCCGCCCCCTCCCCTCTTTCCTTCGCTGCCTGGTTCCCCGTGTCCCTTCTTCTCTGACCCTTCCCATCCCGACGGTGCAACGATCTCAATTTTAAGGGTGCCAGCAGGAAACTACCACCCTCGACAAAACTTACTGAATTCATTATGGAGCGAACAAAGGCTTCATGGAAAAGCCTTGGGCGACGTGTGCACTACGCCGTACGAGAAGAAAGAGAAAGAATCGGTCTAGTCGCCGAGATCGTGTCGTCGTCCGTATCGGCGGTGAAACGATCGGTGAAAAATATCGTTATATCGCGTAGAGTGATGCGGGAAAAAATTTGTTCGCCAGAGATACGACGTAGATACGTACCGTGAATACGTACTTCTCGTGTAAAGACAGCCGGAATTCTTCGCACTCGACGTTAAATCATGTTTCAACGTCGGGAGAAAGGGAGGAAGATTGAGACAGTTGGAAATGATAGTGTAGAAATGCAGAACAACGTGGCGGCGTTACCGGAATCCTCTCCGGAGAAACGGTTCTCGATTGAACGTATTCGAGGTTAGCCCAAAAGCCAGGCTACACCTAAAGTGCATCAAACAACCGGTTACCGGTCTTCGGCTCCATTTGCATCCCTCACGAACGTATCAATAATGAACGCTGCAGCTTGTCTGGGGCAATATAGCGGCAAATTGTACGAAACGGAGGGACGGTTGAAGGGCTTCTGATCGTGTTTCGAAACGAAATCGTGGAGGAAGCGGGCCAGCGTGGGGTAATTGAAGTTACCCCTCACGCGCGTTCCACGACACGTTCAACGTGAAATCAAAATATAACCGTATAAGCGTCTGGCCTTGCCGAGAGTTCGCGAGGTGTCTTACAAGATAACGTGTTCATGGCTCCGCCCGTTCGAAAAGGACCGGGGGTCCACCAATGAAGATCTGAACCCACGGCGCGCACGCGACCAGTTAGGCTAAGGGCAAACGTAAAACTTACCGATCGGCAAGATAACTGGTGTTTAACACGCGAACCAAACCGCCATTAAGCCCGGCCCACCGTACGATTTCCACGCGGGTCCGCATCGAGAGTCTCTCTCCTCGGCTCCTCGCGGCGCGTCGACGATTGATTTACCGACCGGTGTGCCGGTGTACTTTTTCTCTTCTGGCAAGAGAGGATCGGAGACACACGCATACACCGCGTAGAGCAGACGGTGGCTCGAAACGCCGGTTGCGGATGCCTGGCGATTGCCGTGAATCGAGTTCGTTGCACCGTGGCTCGAAACGTCCGGAACAGTAAGATGGGATCGAGCAGGCGGATGTGATCTGGCTAGATCGGATCTACCTCTGCTTCTTCGCGTCGGAGCCTCGGCTCCTCGTGGTGCTTCATGGGAATCGATGTTCTCGATTTCTCGAAAGCGATAGTATTGATTGGAAGCTATCCGTCCGCTCCCTCCCTATAGTCTGGTAGGTTTAATTAATTATTTTCTTTCCCCTCGCCCCACCCCCAATCGCGTCGCGTCGTCGCTGACGTTATCGTCGTTGACGCGCGTATTGTTCGCCTCGATGGATTTAATGCCTCCTTGAAATTCAGTCTACGCGACTGCAGTCCGTCAGCCTGTACGCGATACGTCGCTCGTACACGACCGTCTGCTCGACGTGCGTGTATCTCCTCTTCACGGATCGCTCAGTTAATCGATTCAATTTCGGTGGGACTACTACCAATTACACAACGTCCGCGACTGCTAATTAGAACGGAGTCGGATGAATTTATATACGCGTTATCGCCTGACGCGACACGCGTCAGGACGCGTAAAGAAGGCCGAGTGTCGCCGAGTGTTCTCTCCCGTGAGAGACGGTTATCTCATAACTGCCTCGGCTATTCTCCACGCACTCTGTTCACTTCTACCGATTCTTCCTCGATATAAGAGTGCTCTCGGTCTAATTAAGATCCATTCGAGCCATTTTGCTGGAGTTTATCTCTGACTCGACCGACCTCCGATCCCGATAAGCTGAAGAATTCCACGCGGGGAGAGCTGACGTCACGCTCGGAAGATGAACGCTCGCCCGCGATGGTTCACGAGCGCTTCGTTTCCTTTGAATTCACAATGCTCTAATCAGAAAGCCAGCAAGTGGCCGTCGAGGAACGCTATGCATTAGAAAAGGTGGCTCGGAGCGAAAATTGAAGTAACGAGACTCGGAAAGCTAACTGAAGATTACCGGGATATCTTGCTTCGTTTTCGAGCGCGTTTACGCGGTATTACTACCGCCTTGGGCCGGGCCCAGGTTTCCGATTCACCTTTTCCCGGTGAAAATGTCTTTGAAATATCTGGAATTTCATTTTGATCGCGAGGTACGAAGATTCGAAGGAGAACGCGAGGCAGCGAGGAAGGAATTTCGGTAGAAATAGAATTTTATCCGGTGGTGCTCGCGTTGAAATCAAATTACCTCGCCGGATAGCAATTTGAACGTGCTACGTGGCATTAGACGTCCTCGGAATAACTCGGTTAAGTTTCGTCCGAACGACTTCCGTACAACAGCTTCAGCGGCATCGTGGGCTTGCTATCAATCGGAACAGCGGATTACTTACTACAAACGACAAATACACAACCGAGTCGGAAGTGAACTTAATACAACCGGCTCCTATCTATCTTCGCAACTAGTTTCCGTATCTCCATTAACTGCCGCCTCGAGTTGCAATACGTTGTTAATAACAATTCAACCGGCAGCTCCTCGGTGTGCCTCGCCGATTCTATTCGCGAGAGACAATCCTCCGTTTGCAGAGGACCGAAATATTTTGCGCCAGCCAGTCGTACGAATATCCAGATAGCGTCGTGATACAGGGAATTTCTCAGGGAGTTTCAGGCAAATGCGACCTCGCACGTTCGTAGGTTGAATTCTGTGATCGGCGTTTTTGGGGAAAGAGAAAAGGAAAATGCGCAATTTCGGGTTTGGTGGACCGAAATTGTGTCTAATAATGTATCGCGCCCTAGTGATAAGGTGCTTTCTTCTCTGCTTTTTTCTTTCATGTTTTTCTTCTCTTCCACTTTTGGGTTTTACGGAAACATAGTCAGCCACCAATTTTGATAAAAAAAAAAATTACACGTCAATTTTGGCATTTCCTTTTATTTAAAACACAATATTCCACCGGCGTGAAACGGCGATTCGCATTTTCGTATCGAGGTATTAAACGCACGTTTACGCTATTCCCAAGAGAAATCTAAAAAAAATCGTTATCAAAAGCATCGAAGAAGCTTTCGTGCAACGTTACAGAAATAATCTTCTTGCCTTTCGTACGAAAGAACAAACGTTTCGAATCTCCTACGTTTCGTCGCAGTATCCGTCAAACGTCCGATAATTCTTTTCCTCTTTCGCGTGGCGATTCCAACTCGCGAAGTAGTTGACTTCGAAATTGAAAATAACGAGGGCGGCGGGGAAGGGGCGAAGATCGAAATATCTAGGTGAAATCCCAACTACGTAAAACACGAGGGAATGCAAGGCGTCGGTTATTCCGCCGTATTAATAGCACGTACTCGGCTGCATCGTACATTTCTGCCATTCTGTGTCGAGGCTAGGAATCGTATCGGACCGTATCGTGATGGAGAACTCTCCTGTTGGTGAACGATGCAGAAATCGGTATCGGCGGGCGGTATGGGGTTCGTCGGATCGTGATGCGACGTGGCGACGCGGCGTAGCGCGCTCGGTGATCCGCCGTGCCGAGGCAGAAAACGCACGGGAATATAAATCAGCGTCGTAACGAGTAATCGATCAAGATAATGCATTGGGAATCGGTAGAAAAAGTCACGTGGACAGACCGATAAATAAGGACAAATAGAGCCGGTCGCGGAGAACGATACGAGAACAGCCTGACAGAAAAACGGCACGCGTGGCGCCCCATCGACGTTAATCTGCCCCCGTGTGCACGCGAAACCGGGAAAAGGACGGCGGTGGAACATGACGCAGAGAGGGGGATGGGGGGGAAGGGAAGTCGGGGGGGGGGCACAGGTGGTGGAATCGGGGAGCAACAAACAGAGAGGAAGACAGAGAGACAGAGAGGGAATGTGTCGCTGGATATACACGACACGTACGGCGAACTCCTTTTTCCGATCGTGTAAAAGAAGTTGACTCGCTGCTGGATTTACAGAGTATCGACTGGAGCGTGGCCCGAGGCCTCTCACGATGCGCTGTGATTAAGACGTCCCTGGATCCAATGGACGGCGCCGCCGAGACTGCATCTTCGAGAAACCAGGGAACCGGCAGCAACGTGCGAACAATCTTCGATAATGAACCGACCACGGAGAAATTTTGACAACGAGAGTGCGGCTCGGTGAGTGATATTTCCCTTTAACGTTCTAAATTTGAATGTCCCAGCGATCGAACTGTTAATACTACAGTCTACAAGTAGCGTTACCTTTGACAAAACCTTTGACGAATATGTAGAAAAGTATAGATATCGTACGTGTGCGGAAACGTTCGAAACAGCGTAGCTAATGTCTATAGAGTTGTTTTCAATAATGCACGTTCAATTACAAGCCACGGGACGTACGTGCAGGTTATTAGCAGCGCAAACTTGTACCGCGAAGAAGAGACGTTCCGAACGTTTTCGCGTGTTCTGCATGACGAATGACGTCTTGACGCCAGGGCGGTCTTGCTCACGTTCGGACGAAAAGAAGCTCGGCACGCCGAGGCGAACGCGGACGCTCGGCAATCGTCGATAAAACCTGCCTTTAAGCCAGCGATACCGTGATCCAATCACAAATCAATTTATCCGTCATCCGCTACAGGTACGATACAGAAAAAAATCTCACTATTGGGACGCATTACCCTGTGGATGTCTGTGATACACTACGTCTATTACGCTGTCGTATTAAAAGTCGATGCAATTTTTCGATTGGCTACGGTCGTCGGCCACAATGCACAATACTGCCGATAGAAACCGTTTGTTCGTTTTCTTTTCTGTTTTTTTTTTCTTTTTTTCTTTTTTTACGATAGGCTGGCTGAAACGAGTGCGTCGAAAGTTATCGTTCTAATTTGAGAAATTGCATCGCGGCCAATTTTTAACGATCGACTCCGATCGTCGATAGCCTTGAAAAAGGAAAATTTTAGAGGAACACCACTTCATTTCGACAGATAAGTTGCATGTTTGCAAAGTGCTTTTCACTCAGATGTTTCGTTTGCGAAACACACGATGTACATACATACGTATAACGCCGAATAGATACAAAGCCTTACTTAATGCACGGCTGTGTCGAAAAACACAACGGACGGCTATCTCATGTATCTTAACGTTAATGCGCTCGGCTACCCTCTACATACATCATCCATCTCTTTCGATCGGCGACGCGGATCTAAGACATCCAAATTGCATTTCGAAACAGCCGATAGACACTGTGACAGGTCATGAATATTATCGACGGTAGCGGGTCCACCGGGTAGTCTCCACGGCATGGATATTTATTTTCTCGAACGGCAGCGTAACGCGTGACGCAAAGCCGGATTAAAGTGGAGGGGGAGATATACTCGAAGGCTCCAAGAGCAGCAAAGGCTCCTGACTTTGTGCTCGAGCGCCACGTCTTCGAACTGTCGCCCGGTATTTTTAATTATTCATCGACCGAGCTATGCATACGTTGTTGCATTCGTTTCCATTCGACGACTCGTCGACTCACTATCGGACGTTTTCTCAAAGAACGAGGCGTCGATGTTCCAAGAACACGTTTCCGTGCGTTCTTTAATTAATACCAATCGTGCATGAAGTACTTTTCCCGCGGCGCTATAGCTCGTTCTCGCGTGTATCTCGCCGCCGTCTGTCATTTTCCCTTTCTTCGACCGTTTCTGCATTATTAACTTTCCTCCTTCTCGTGTCTCTGTGCGTAGAACACACCTTTGTGGACAAAGCCGGGACGCGCCGGGTTCGCTGAAAGTTTCCAACGACGAACTGGCAGTATCGTAGTGGCGATAACGAAACGACGACGCGCAATCGATACATGATTACAAGCCTCGGTTGTAAGAGGCGTGCGTGCACGCGTGCATCCGTGCATCGGCTCAGGTTCAATGAATGTTTAACGAGGCGGCGGCAGCAGGATGAACCCGCGTGTTTTGCCGAGGGAAACGGATCTTCGAAATAATGCCTGGCATTCACGGCGGCGGACCACCCTCTCTTTCCTTAAAGAAACGCGGCCGTCACGTGGATGACAGTTGTCTTTGTTGCTAAACAGTCGTAGTCACGCCGCCCGTGACGTTTATCTCGGCGTCGTTACCGCGAAATGTAATAACGTCTGGGAAACGCGAGCTGCACGTGACGTTAATTTGAAGAATAATCGCACGCATTCCGGGCGAACGCCTCCTCGTTAATTAACTCGCGGGGAAACTCTATCGAAACGAGATTACTCGTCGTGTTGCCGTTACTAGAGATACGTTATCGACCTTTATTTAGATTATTAGAAAGTGTCGTCGTATAAATCGTCCGAGATCGACGAGGTGTTCCATCTATTCTATCGAATCGCACTCGACGACGCTTCGTCGGAAAGTTTGTGAAAACCGCGAACGGCGCGAGAGGCGAAGGTGGAGTTTCTTCGTCGGGACGAAGGGGGCGAAGGAACGAAGCGCAGTCGGTCGCAATTAGCAGGCTCGACTCGGAAAGTGGAAACGCTTAGAGGTACCTTGTCAAGGGGGCAAATTGCAGTTTTACTTCGGCACGTTTATCAGAGACAGAGACAGAGAGAGAGAGAGAGAGAGAGAGAGAGAGAGAAAGAGAGAGCGCGTTCGCGAGATTGCAGGTACATGGCTGGCCCCGTGTTAAAACAAAGTCACGCCGCCTGGATGTCAGCCGCGCGGCATATGTACACCACCCTCCGCTCGTGCAAACAACGCGGTTTCACGCGGGCGCCAATTAGCTAACGACGAAAGTTTGGCGACGACGCCAGGAGGAACTAATCAAGATACCGTGGATACCGTAATCACTGTTGATACCGTTGCTAGACACGCTCGATGTCTTCTCTCGATCCTCTCTCACGACGTGCGCAACGTCTCGCGACGAAATGCAAGAGAGGCCGAATTCGCCAGAGCAGAGCCATCTTCGGTCGGTGTTTCTCGACGAACCATACTCAACGACGTTCGACCGTTCCAAAGTCGAGCTTTTTGATCCCTTTTCGAACGCGTACACTTCCGAGCCGACGCCAAGATCGAAGAATTTTACTCGTCTATGGTAATCCGAGCGAATGTGCATAAATATGCAGTATTTCTGGCTAAACGCTCCTCGATGCACCCTCTGCATGTTTAATTCATGAACAACTTTCTACAGGTCGGTCGAAACGCGAGCGTAACTCAAACGAATCGAATTTCTACTTGCTCATTCATCGCCCCATGGCTCCCGTTGGTTATCGATTAAAAATTTCCCACGCGGCCAGCTTGAATTTCGTCCAAACGATTAGTTTTTATAAAATAAAAAAGAAAAAAGAAAAAAATTACGCCGCATTCTCTCGCTTATTAAGTCGTTAACGAACGAAAGGGAGCACCACCTTTTCCTTGTCTCTCACGCGTTTCTTCGACTGGAACGGACATACATTGTACATACGCTGCGCTGGTTCGCTCTCCAGGTTCGTTTCTCCTCCTTCCTCCGCCCTTCGCTTCCTCTGTCACTGAACCTCTCGGGTCATCGCCTCGATTTTCTTTTTTTCTTTCGCTCCTTCATCCCTCTTTCGCTCGTACCGCCCGCGCCGTTCCCGAGACACGCCGAGGGACCAGCGCGTCCGACAACGGAATAATAATAATTCGCCGGTAATGACCGGACGGTGTCGCCGGTGCGGCATAGCCAGGCATTCGATCTTGGCCGGACGCCTCCTCCTCTCCCTCCTTGCACCTGATATCACGACGAAATGTTCTTCTTGAAACGGAGTTTGTTTGATTTCCTCCGTCGATTTTATTAAATTCAAGGAGCATTGAAATTCCAATTCTAGCAACAGTAGATTAATTCGTGGACACGAGGAATTATCTCGCTACTCTTTTGTCACTATCTGCGATGCTACGTTCCGACGAACGAGCAAAGTGTTGTAAAGCGGTTGATCAAAGCAAGATTTGACAAAATCGTACGACTCGGAGGAAGTAGCCGTTCTGGCTTGTAGTTTGGTATCAGCGAGACCAAGCGTTAGCGAGCGGCATGGCTCGAGATGCTCGAGACGCTCGAGGACGTAACACGGACGTGCACTCAGCGTTTTCGATTATTCAGGAACGGGAAAGGACACGTTCCACGATCCTGTCGAAGCCGATCCCTGTCGGAGAGCGGTCGCACACATTCACCGTAGCGTGATCACGAACGTGTACGGACTACGGTTAGCCAGCGCGCGCGCGAGAGAGAGAGGGAGAGGGAGAGAAAGAGAGAGGGGGGACTCGGACCCGCAACAACAATGGCCTGATTGATATCTGGCGGCCGGCATCAAAATAATATCGCGGCGATAGGCACGCCGGGACGAGGTTAAAAGCTTAACGAGTTACAGGCATGATATTGGATCCAAAGAAATTTATGGTTCTTGTAGTACCGGTGGGGCCCGTTTGCCTCCCGCGGCGCGGCCCACGGACCGTGCGGTCCACCGCTACATCAATAAGATCCCCGCGCCGAAATAAATTCGCTGTTTTGACGGCGTTTAATAATAATTCGCCGGTCCTTTGCTCGCTGCTACGCGAGCAGAGGCCCGGCCGCGGGGAACGACGCGCCGCGCCGGGTGACAGTAACGAAATATCACCGAAGCTACCGCGAGCAACCGAGAGTTCCGGCACGCGTGGAAATTTTCTGGTGGTTACAGGACACAACGGGTTCTCCCCGCGCACAACTCCCCCCCCCCCCCTTTCCCCTCCCTCTTCGTCCGCGATTTCGTAGAGACTGCGGCAAAATTGAAATTCAATGTTGGAGCGACAGGGACGGCACGCCGCGCGCGTTCGATTTCCACCGGACTGGATTGAAATCTTCCGGATGCGTTGTCTGCTTTTTTTTTTTTTTTTTAAACTCGATCGCGTAACGCGTGCGGTCGTATCGAAATTTGACGTTCGCGTGACAGCGGCGGAACATTAACAGGACCGATTACCCGGTATATTTATTTTATCGCGTCTAGTTTCGTATCCCTCGGTCGTCGCGAATTCCGAGTGAAATTTCAAATAACTGCACACTTTCGAACACCCGCGGCTTCAAAGAGGTTCGCCGTTTTATAATTTCGCCGTCTAAATCCTGTCTCGTTTTGTTTTCCGTAGCCGCCGAGTTTCGTAGCAACGTAAACCGGTCCGCGGTGTACGGCAAAGTTGTGCAACTTGTTAGAGAAGCAAACGCACGGTTTTGTG